AACTTACCATTGGTTCATTTTAAGCCTAGGATGCTATTGTGAATCAAAAAGGTCATCGTGTGGAGTTCCGGCAAATTTTGATAAGAAATACAAACCAATAGGTAATTCTCAGGATCCACCTCACATAATGTGCATATGCTATAAAGAACCTAATGTCAATAACTAAAAGGCGTTTAAAAATCGCGATTTTTTACTTTTGTGCTTCAGTTGAGAAGATAGCAGTTTGCTTGAAAAGGTTAAATTTTTACTTTACAAAAGCCTTAAGTCCCGCCTTACACACAGGACACTGGTGCCGTGACAGACTGTCGCCTCATTGACTTCGCCAACACATACTACGGTGCTGCCACGCTGGATATCCTGACGTACCTCTTGGTCTGTACTGACAAGGAGCTTCGTGGAGCGCATTGGGACTCTCTACTGAAGAGCTATCACAGCCAGGTGCAGGACACGCTACGAGCTGCAGGTGTTAAGGATCCTGACAAAGTCTTCTCCTGGAACCGATTTCAGGTGAGCACCTTTCGCAGCAACTACAACGGCACGGTTTCGGGTTCCTGGGGTAGAGAGTGTGGGCTAGGGCATGTACACACAGAAACGAGTGTGCTATGGCACGTGCACGGAGGAAATAGTTTTAAACGGCAAGTACGCACTTTTCTGCTCATCCTTCCATGTAAACTCGTTCGTGTGTGTTCTAAGTACACTCTCTAGTTTGCAATGTGCACTAGTACCAAGATCAAAGATTGCGTTTTTCAATCAACCCCTTCCTCTGAAATCACATTTCAGGAGCAGCTTCGACTTACATCATTTTATGGGCTCTGCATGACACCGTTCCTTCTACACTGCATGCACGCCGAAGGTGAAACCATACAAGAACTCAAGGATGTGTTTACGTGCCCTATGGACAAGCAACAGGTATGATTTTACCTTCTCATTCTTAGGGAGCATACAAACATAAGATCCGTTGCACAAACACGGAAAAAAATGAACTGGTCGTGAGATATAAATATTAGTTAATTTCGTGGCAATCAATCAAAAAATTGTTAAGGTAAGTATTTTTTTTTTCTCAGAACTAAGATTAAGTTGTCAGCAAAACAAGCTGCTTGGTGCTTGAGCTAACGCATTCGTTCTAAAAACAAACCACGAGTTGGCTCCGCAGCGACGTGCTTCGTTTTAGCATCCAACTAGTTACCTCAACAATTTTTTGATCGATTGTCACGACACGAAATTAACTAATATTTAGCCCTGACGACCAATTCATTCCGTTCCGTGATCCTGCTTTCATTGTGAAAAATAGTTGTAGGTTTTACAGGAAAGTTTTCAATTACGTGTATTGTAAAATTACCGAAACCCTTCAGACCTCTGGATTAGAAAGTCGGGGCTACCTGTGGAGAGACCTGCTGAAATCCAGTGTGACATGCTTCCTTAGGAGCTCCTAGGGACCTTACCAACAGCGTTTCATAATTTTATATTCAGTGATACAGAAAATTGTATCCAACGTCACTATACCTTGTATCTGTTACAGAAATTAGGGTACCCTAAGAGAAAATAGACGTCTATAGATTTCGATAGATCATCTAATGCCCGTCTAGCTGGTCTAAGTTTTTAGACGACTAGACGTAGATGACCAAAAGAGGTCTAGTAGACATCTTTTCACATCTACGACTAGGTTTCGTCCAGAAACAGACGACCCGAGACGATCTATTTATTGTCTAACCTGTCTATGTACTTACACGTCTAGCGCTAGACAAAGTGTAGACGTGTCTAGATGATCTATTCCCTATCTTCTCTATCTACGACCTTAGACGTCTAGCACTAGACACAGTGTAGACGTGTCGAGATGATCTTATTCTCATCCATCCCATCAACAACCTTAGACGTCTAGCGATGGACGACGTTTAGACGTGCCGAGACGATCTAACTCTAATCTAACCCATCTATGACCTTAGACGTTCAAGCTTTAGGATTTTTAACGCAGCAGGGTATGAAATTTTTGATCACCTTGAGATAATTGTACCCAATCGCTCGCTTGTAAAAAACACCTGCGGACTTTAAACGTAATATCAACGGTAGGTCTCTTGGCCACTCTAAATCAGAAGGGAAAGAGTCCCGAGTCTGGAAAGACGAATGCTACCGGAACCAGACTGACCTCACGTAGGAAGCAACTCGTGGCGTAGTGGTCAGCGTCGAGGGTTACCAATCCGCAGTTCCGAGGTTCGAAACCGGCCAAGGT